TGGTATAGGGTTTGATATAGGAGAGTATATGAAAAATAAATATCCTCTTTTTGTTTTCCTCCCTAAATTTCCTTCTTGGTTTCTCTGCAATTGAATTTGGGGACAGGGCGTGTTGTGCTTCATCTATTGCAAGGCCTCTCAACTGTGGCTCCACTGACATTTGGACCACATATAGGATTTCATTCTGCAGAACCCACAAGACATAATTTTAAAACTTTCTATTTTTTTTCCTTTGAAGTCCTTTCTTGGTTACGATACACTTAGTTGTATTTACTTCTGCTCTCTCATGGATTCTCCATCTCAGCCCTACTGATGTGTTGGGCCAAATCATTCTTTGTTGTGTGGGGCTGTCTGTTTAGCAGCATCCTTGATCTCTACCTAGTAGGTGCCAGTAGTACCTTGCCACATCACCTCCACCCTCTGTAGCTGAAAAAACCAATACTGCCTCCATATATTGCTAGACATCTGGAGGGGTGGGGCAAAAAGTACCCCGGGTTGAGAACCACTGTTATACCTCTACTTACATATCCCCATGCAGTGGTTCTTTTCTGCCTTTTCTTTTAGAAAAAGTGTGTTTCTCTCCTGTTTTTACTCATAGACATTGAGTGATAATTTTGTTTCTTGAACATGACTGAGGAACCTCACTTCCCATCTCAAGCGGTTTAATTGTTACATTTTTCTCTAACAAATATAGGATTGCCCCTAGGAGGAGTTCTAGCAAGTAACATACTCCAATTTGCTAAACATTAATCATTTCTCCTCTGAGTGAACAGTAACAGGCCATTTGAGCTTCTAACACGGGTTTGGCTATAGACTGCTTTGCTTTAGAGTAAATTAGCACATACCTCTCTGTTTCACTAAATCCAAACATGTGGGCAACCTCAAGACAAGCATATTGTCTTACACCATAGGTGAGTTAGTTCCTCTGACCTTGTTTCAATCTCTGCAAAATGTGGGTAAGATTACCTTCTGAGTGGGGTTTTTGGTAAAGATTGTAGGTTATAAGATAAAGCACCTGATATATATCAGACACTCAAAAATGTTAACCATTATTATTAATTTTATTAGGAGACTAGTGGCCCAGTGCACGAAATTCATGCATGGGAGGGGTTCCCTCAACCCAGCCTGCACCCTCTCCAATCAGGGACCCCTTGGGGGATGTCCCTGTGGGATCAGGCCTAAACCAGCAGTCAGACATCCCTCTTGCAATCTGGGACCACTGGCTCCTAACCGCTCACCTGCCTGCCTGCCTGCCTGATTGCCCCTAACTGCCTCTGCCTGCCTGCCTGATCACCCCTAACTGCCCTCCCCTGTTGTCCTGATCTCGTCCCTAACTGCTCTCCCCTGCAGGCCTGATCGTCCATAACTGCCTCTGCCTGCCTGATTGCCCCCAACTGCCCTCCCCTGCAGGCCTGATCTCTCCCCCAGTGGCCCTCCCCTGTCGGCCTGATTTCCCCTAACCCCCTCCCGGCCTGATCTTGCCCTCAAATGCCCTGCCCTGCCCTGCCAGCCTGATTGCCCCTAACTGCCTCTGCCTCGGTCCCCATGGCTTTGTCCAGAAGGTAGTTGGACGTCTGGAAGATGGCTGGTCAACCCAGTCTAATTAGCATATCACCCTTTTATTAGTATAGATAGATTATATAGGATAGGATTGCTTAAATGGGGAGGGGGAGCCATTTTCAGCAGGAGGAGATGCTCTTGGCAGACAAAAATACATAATCCCTATATCTGGACTGATAGCCAGCCATATGCACTATATTGCCAAACCGGTCATTAAAAAATTGAACCGCTTTCTTACACCTTACACCAAACAACTGTTGCCCTTAAAACTCCTTCTCAGCCCCCATGTTAGGTTCTGCCTTCGCAGTTCACCCAGATTCGGTTCTGATTGGTCGGTTTCGATGCCAGTCAGTGTCAAAAGCTCCGCCTCCTAGGCAGCCATTGGCTCCTTGCAGTTCACCCAGATTTGGTTCTGATTGGTTGGGTTCTATGCCAGTCAGTGTCTCTGAGCCTATCCCCAGGCCTGATCAGAGAGGCAGGGCTGATCAGCAGCCCTCATGGCTGCTGGGAGGCCCGGAGAGAAAGAGAGGTGGCTGCTGACCAGGCCCAGAGAGAAAGAGAGAGGCAAGGGCTGATCAGCAGCTGCCACAGAGGCTGTGGATCAGACCCTGCTTCTCTCTCTGGGCCTCTCTCTGGGTCTGATCCGCAGCCCCCTTGGAAGTCAGTGCTGGGTCGCCACACCTGGTGTTCGGTCATCCGTTTGGTTGTTTTGGACATTATGGACCCTGGCTTTATATATATATATATTGAGGCCTATATAAAGAACCTTTAAAGCCAGAATTTAAACCTCCAACACCTATACTTAGAGTTTTTCCTCTTTATTTCATTAATTTCTGAGTTAGTTGTTGTGGTCACAGCTGAGGCATGCTGGGGAAAAAAGATTGTTGCATTAATTTTTTGTTATTGTTTTACCAGAAATTTTAAGGCTTTGCTAATTCGAATGTTCTCAAAAACACTGACATTTAAAACTTAGCATCCTTGTATTTCTTCTTGCAATGTGAGAAGATGCAAATTGCGTCTAAAGAAAACATAAGAGATAGAATTTTAAATTAGGAGTTTTACTGAAATTGGTTTCTATGGCAAAAGTGTCATTTGATTGTCTTTTACTGTTTTTCCCAGTAGATTGGATATATTTTTCTTTCACGTTTTTTCACCCTGAAGTATGTATGTGGTTTTGACCTTTTCAAGACAAATTGAAAAATAAAATCTGATGAAAAGAAAATAGACAAGTTGCGAGTCACATCACAAAAAAAGTCAATAAAAAAGCAGAATGTGCTTCTTTTCGAGGAAACACCAAATGGCGGATGACACCAGCGCTGCGAAGGGCCAGAGGCGGGGGGAGGGTGTGTGTGTGAGTGGCGGGAGGGGGGTGCTGGAATAAGGGGCTACAAGGGCTTCAGTGGAGGATTTGGCAGCTGCATCAGGGCCAGATCTCTGGCTGCTGAGGTTGGGGTCGGGGCTGAGTCTGTGGAGCTCATGGAGGCAAGGCCCAGGACAATGAGTGGATTCCCAAGCTGGGCCACCTGGTCAAGGACATGAAGATTAAGTCCCTAGAGGAGACCTATCTATTCTCTTTGCCCATCAAGGAATCTGAGATCATTGACTTTTTCATGGGGGCGTCCCTCAAGGCTGAGGTTTTGAAGAGTATGCCTGTGCAAAAGCAGACAGATGCTGGCCAGAAGACCTGGTTTGAGGTATTTGTCGCCATTGGGGACTACAAGACATGTTGGTCTGGGTGTTAAGTGCTCAAAGAAAGTAGCCACTGCCATCCATGGAGCCATTATTCTGGCCAAGCTCCCTATTGTCCCCGTGTGGCAAGGCTACTGGGGAAACAAGATCAGCAAGTCCCATACTCTTCTTTGCAAGGTGACTGGCCGCTGTGGCTCTGTACTGATGCTGTCCATCCCTGTCCCCAGGGGTACTGGCATTGTCTCTGCCCCTGTGCCCAAGAAGCTGCTGCTGCTGGCCAGTATTGAGGACTGCTATACCTCGGCCAGAGGTTGCACTGCCACCCTGGGCAACTTCGCCAGGGCCACCTTTGATGCCACCTCTAAGACCTACGGCTATCTCACCCCAGATCTCTGTAAAGAGACTGTGTTCACCAAGTGTCCCCATCAGGAATTCACAGGCTATCATATAAAGACCCGCACCATAGTTTCTGTGCAGAGGACCTAGGCTCCAGCTGTGGCACCACATAATTTTATACAAGAAAAATAAAGTGAATGGAGCCTGCTAATAAAAAAAAAAAGCAGAATGCACTATTCTGGTTATTAAAAGGGGGTTCACTGTTCAATTTGTTACACAGGAATGTGCTCTTCCATAGATTAGAAAAGAAAGTGTTAATATAAGGCTGGGGTATGTAATTTTGGTTGTAATATCAAAGAATTTAGAGGTGAAAGGGACCCCAACATTATTTAATATAACCACCTGATTTTACTAGTGAAGAAAGTGAGAGCTCCAAAGTCAAGACTCCAACATTTTTACCAATGGTTGGTAACAAAATTTGTATGAAAATATGGTTTGCACTGAGTCAGACACCCTGTTCTGTTAGTCACATCTATTGGGAAAAAAATAGAATTTGGGAATCTTCTAGAAGATTTAGCAGTTATCCTATATAATAAAAAGCTAATATGCAAATTGTCTCCTTGACTGGGAGTTTGACCGGGAGTTGGACCAGGGGGTGGGACCAGCCAGCCAACCACCCATGGCTCCGCCCCTTAGCTGGCCCTTCCCCTGATTGCCCCCCCCACCCCAATCAGGGGCGGAGCCGACCAGCCAATCACCTGTGGACCCTCCCCCAGCTGGTCCCATCCCCAATTGGCATCCCCCCGATCAGGGGCGAGCCAGCTGGCCAAACTCCCACGTCCCTCCCCCCCTCCGCCCCCCAGCCACCCGGCCCGATGGCCCCGATCGGGGTGGGCCGGCCAGACCCCACCCATTCACAAATTTGTGCACTGGGCCTCTAGTTTTCTTATGAATTAAAATAATTAGGCAAGTACATTGGAGATATTTTTAGGGATTATTGTGGCACCGATCACTGGGTGAAAATGGAATATATTGACTGGGATAAGCTTGATAAAAACTATGTTTCAATTCAGTACAACTATTTTAAAGCAAGAAAAGTGCCATTGTTATCTACTACCAAGTCTTTTAGAGAAGACACAGATGGACATGGCAGGCTATAATAGAATCTAAACTTTAACCAACACATAATATCTATTTTCCCCCCACAGAATCTCTCACTCCATCATTTTCAAAACACTTGGCTTTATTAAGGAGTTTACACACAATATAGAAAGCTTAGTGGTATTATTAAATAATCAGTTGTCTTCAAACTATCAGTATGTTTCCAATGCTTTTCAATAAATATCTTGAACACTGCATATCTTTAACTTATCTTGAATCTTCTGGTAGTCTGGCACAACTTTTCACTGCAGATCTTAATGAAAGTCCTTGGGTTTTTGTTGAAATAGTTTTGATTTGTTTCCTGTGTCTCTATTTTGTTCACCTAACTTGTATTTTTTGGCCATTGTTACAAGAGCTTCTGGGATACTTTGATTTGATCTTTCCAGAATTTTAATCAATTCAGGGGCAGTCTTCCAATCATTTTTAGTCATAAGGGTAATGGACGTGCCAGTCTTCCCTGCTCTTCCAGTACGCCCTACTCTGTGTACATATTCTTCAATGTTTCTTGGGAAATCGTAATTATACACATGTGTGATATCATCAACATCAAGACCTCGGGATGCTAAGTCAGTAGAAATCAGTATTTTCACATTTCCACTTTTAAAGTCATCTAATGCCTGCTCACGTTCACTCTGTTCTCTGTTTCCATGCAAGGATTGTACAGATAGGCCTTGGACGCTTAAATTGCTGGATAAGTCATCAGCAACAATTTTTCTACTGACAAACACAATGACTTTGTCTTTGGGTGACAGGCTGTGTAGGAATTCTTTTATAAGAGATCGTTTTTCTTCTTCTGTGGTAACAATTATATTTTGCTTCACTGTATTTACAGCAACTAGATCCAGGGTACCAACATAAACGATCATAGGCTCTTTCAAATAAGTTTGTGAAAGTCGACGAATGGTATCTGGCCAAGTTGCACTTGTCATAATCATTTGCCGATCTGGGCGCACATCTAATAAAATCTTCATTATCTGAGGTTGAAATCCCATATCTAGCATCTTATCAGCTTCATCTAAGACTAGGTAGGTTATGTTTCTAAGGTTGACAAAATTATTCATTTGCAGGTCATGCAGTCGCCCAGGAGTTGCAATAATGATGTCTATGTCTTTGGCAACGTCTTTTATTTGTTGTTGTCTATTTCCGCCACCGTATATACAAATACTTTTAAGATTTTTATATGCATACTTAGAACATTCATTTCCTACCTGGAGAGCTAATTCTCTAGTCGGTGTAAGGACTAGCATGCCGGGACCATTCCTCTGTTCTCTGGGTGTTGGTTGAGAATTGATGTGAATAAGCCCAGGCAATAAATAAGACAAAGTTTTGCCTGTTCCAGTTTGGGAGACTCCTACAAGATCTATCCCTTGTAGAACAATTGGCCACACCTGTGATTGAATTGGCATTGGCTTTTGAAACCCTGCTTTTTGAATGTTTTTCATTAATTCAGGATAATTCTGGAAAGCGTCCTCAAATTTAATAGTTGGGTTGGGGATAGACCGTTTTTCACCATCTTTCAAATCATCACAAACTATATTGAAATGTTCCTTCCTCCAAAGGTCTGCCTGCATTTGAGACAGAGAACTTGTTGCTCTGGATTCTATGTAAAAGTCTTTTTTAATTGGTGCTAAGTCTTCCCATCTTCTTGTTTCCCACTCTGTCACTCTTGCCCTAATTCGATCCCAGTCTATCAATGGTCGAACTTCTCTAACAGTGTTATCTGTGGTTAAGTCTCTTGCAACAGCTGGTTGGGTTGCAGCATTATTAACAGTGCATTCTGAATATTGGTAGTTGCTTCCTTGTCTTTCAACAATAGTCTCTATAATTGCTTTGGCCTTTGCTTGCATATCCTTGCTGCCAAAAATGTTTACGTCTGCTTCGGAATCACCCTGTACCGGTATGATCTGTATTTTCGTCTTTGTCGTACTCTGAATGTCTCTTATTTTTGATCCGCCATGACCAATCACTGCACCAATCAGACTGTTTTTTATCTTAAAAACAAGAGGAGGGCCTTGGGGGCCAGGAGCCCTAGGCTCCAGGTAGCTGGAGGAGCTGCCCAAGCCCTGGCCTCTGCCACCTCTGCCACCTCTGCCTCCCCTGCCATCTCTGTAGGCCCTGCCAGCCCTGGGATCCCTTAGGCTTGGCTCTGCCCACTTCTGCTTTGGGGACCAGGCCATTGCTACATGGTATAATTGGTACAGACTTATAGCCTACCTCCAGTTGGGAGATATGGCCTGAGGTCTCTTTCTCTTCAGGCTCAGTATAACTGGTAGATAGGTAGTTATATAGCCGTTACCTAGGGAAACATTTAACGTGATGTCACAGAGGGATGACCTGACCAATCACAGGCCTGGAACTAGGATGAGGTAAGCAGGTATCTCTGAAGCAAAATTTAAAGTGACACTCACTCTCAGAGGTTGAGCCTATAGGCCTTTACAGGACCTTGAGAGTGAGTGTTTCCGCAACACTGGTGTCATAGGTGCCTCCATTGCTCACTTCATGCTAATTTTAGCTCCGTTTGGGAGCAGATTTGAAGCAAGCCATGAACTTATCCACATAGTTGTGCTTTTAAAAAAATAAATCAATTATTTCCACAGGAGGAAAAATAGTGGATTTGTTTGTTTCCTTAGATCCTACTTCTTTTGCCAGTTACATGTTCATGGCATTTTCCTCTCTTCAGCAAAAGTTGAAGTTACACAGAATAGGTTTGATTCTCTTTGTATCCCTGTATATGTAAGGACCGCTGTCAAATCCCCTTAAGGTTTCTGTTCATCAGGGCTAAATTCCTAGTTTTCTAAAATATTTCTTGATATGTCATGGTTTCCAAGATGCACATCATCCTGTTCCTTCTCCTTTGGGAATGATTCATTGAGGAGCTTTTGTGATATGGCACATAGAACTACACAAATCAGCAGAAATGGCCTTAACTTTATACGTATTCATTAATGAGCATGACAGTTGTACTCATTCTACCTATGAAGCCAAGACACAAAGCCCCTCACTGGAACATGATGGGCATTTGAGTCCATTCTTCCTCATCCTGTACTTACATGAATGATTTTTTATTTCTTTATTTAACTAAAAGTAGGCTATATATTTATCATTTATAGTCACCGTATGGTCAATTGCAGCAGTCCAATAATATAACCTTAATGCTGATTCTCTCATTCATCCTAGTATCTTCTAGTTTTAAGTCTTTTGCCAGTTACATATTCATGTAATTTTTCTCTCTCCAGCAAAAGTTGCTGATTAAAATTTGAACCCAATCAGATATTGGGTAAAAGTCGGTGAAACACTGGGAAAAACCTTCTCCATGCCAGCATTTTTCTGGAAAAGTACTTTCTAAAGAAAGAATAGGTAGCTGGCCAAATATGTTGGTAAATATAACATCCTATATCTCTTATAGTCACAATGCATATTAGGTATCTCAGAAAACTCTGATAATTACAGGAATTGAGAAACTCAATTGGGCATTATTTACTCCAAAGTTTCCAAACGAATTTGCCAGTAGAACCTCTACTTGATATTTTAAACTTTTTGTGTGGAAGAATTTTAGACTTATGGAAAAGTTACCCAGATAGTACAAGGGGTTCCCATATTCTCTTGAATGAGTTTGTTTCCTCCAATCTTATCTCACACTACTATGGCACATTTGTCCAATATAAGAAGCACACACTGGTGTATTAAATTAACTAATCTCCAGACTTCATACCACCAGTTTTATGTTAATGTATTTTTCCTGTTTCAGGATCTAGTCTTGGACATCACATTGCCTTTAGTGGTCATGCATGATTTGTGACAGTTTTTCAGCCTTTCCTTATTTTTCATGGCCTTGTCAGTTTTGAGGAGTAATGGTCAGGTATTTTGTAGAATACCCTTCCAATTAGGTATGTCTGATGTAATTTCTCATGTAATTTCCCAATTTACACTTGGGTTGTGGTTTTATTTGGAGCAAGTTTTGAGCTTCTTATGCCTTGGCGCTGCTATCTATAGACTGACATAGTAATACCTCTCATACACACAGACACAAACTCACAGTTATACTACTTGGTTTATAGTAAGAACTCTTTAAGTCCCAATTGCCCATGTTATAGAAACAATAGTTATATAGAGACAATTATGGAGGTCTCCAAATGACTGTCTAAGAATTTCTCTGAGAGTTTCCTCTAGTCTACACCAAAATAAAAAGAATAAGGATAATAAAAGGTTTTTTTAAAAAATAAATGTATTCAACTTAAATTATTTTATTCTAACGTCGTGCTCTTCTATTTTTGTTAATATCCTTTTAAAAATGAAATGAGGATTTTAAATGGTTTTTAAAGATCTTTACTAGAACAGAAAAAGTAAAACTAATACCAGTAGCCAGATTAGGTTTTGAAATATTACTGGTAAGTGAAATCAAAGGCATTATAAGCACTCATCTAGCACATTAGTAATTGCATACAATTTAGATATTAATGATGATGGCAGGCAAGAAGGGCTAGAGTGAAGTCTGGGAGGCTGGAGAGTAGAGGCAAAGACCTATAAGGGATATAGGTTTTATCTGTCACTAGGAGGTCTGAAATTAGAGATAAGAGGATGTTGAAGTTTCAGGGTAAGAAACCAATGTGACCTTGGGAAACAGATGAAGACAGCCTGAAGGACTGGGATAAATGATGCAGGTTATAGAGAGAAGGGGAACTGGAGAAAGATAGTTTAGGTCAGAGGAAAGGAAAAGGGAACTGTCAGGAACCATAAAGACAATCAAAGAAATTGCATTTAAATTTGCCAAAGAAATGGAGTGAATTTAGAGTGAAGAAGTCAAATGACACTGTTGGTATTAATTAAGGAAGCAGGTCCATAGGAAGAAAGCAGGATGCAGTGAGGTATAGGATGGGGGCTGTGTTTGTGGTATTTTAAGTACATTAGACTCAGAGATTTGAACACCATGGCAGTGGTAATTCAGAGAAAGTAACAGCTAGGAAGAGAAGGGAGCCAAGTAGCAACGAACATTTTCTTAGTCCTACTATATACACAAGAATACATTCAAAACGAATAAAAGACTTAAATATAAGTCGCAAAACCATAAAAACCCTAGAAGAAACCATAGGCAGTATAATCTCAGATATATCTTGGAGCAATATTTTTGCTGATATGTCTCCTAGGGCAAGAGCAACAAAGGAAAAAAGAAACAAATGGTACTGTATCAAACTAAAAAGCTTCTGCACAACAAAGGAAACCATCAACAAAATGAAAAGGGAACCCACTGAATAGGAGAACGTATTTGCCAATGAGGCATCTGATAAGGGGTTAATTTCCAAAATATGTAAAGGACTTACACAACTCAACACCAGGAAGATAAACAATACACTTAAAAATGGCCAAAGGACCTGAATAGACCAAAAAGAGAATATGAAAGATATTCAACATCACTAATCATCAGAAAGATTCCAATTAAAACCATAATGAGGTACCACTGCACACCTGTCAGAATGGCTACCATCAATAAATCATCAAACAATACGTACTGGCAAGGATTTGGAGAAAAGGCAACCCTTGTGCACTGTTGGTGGGAATGCAGACCGGTGCAGCCACTGTGGAAAATAGTATGGAGTTTCCTTAAAAAATTAAAAATGGAACTGCCTTTTGACCCAGTGATCCCAATTCTGGGAATATATTTTAAGAATTCTGAAACACCAATCAGAAAGAATATATGCAGCACTATGTTCATTGCAATGTTATTTACAATAACCAAGATCTGAAAACAGTCCAAGTGCCCATCAGTGGATGAGTGGATAAAAAATCTGTGGTACATTTACACAATGGAATACTATGTAGCTGTATAAAAGAAGGAACTCTTACCCTTTGGGACAGCATCGATGGACTTGGAGTTTATTATGCTAAGCAAAATAAGCCAGACACAGAAAGACAAATAGGATATGATCTCACTTATATGTGGAATCTAATAAACAATGTAAACTGACAAACAAAATCGAACCAGAGGCATGGATATATGGAACAGACTGACAGAGGTCAGAGGGGAGTGCAAAGGGAGGAGTGGGTGAAAAAAGTGGAAGAGATTAGCCAAAGAACATATGCAGATGCATAGCCCATGGACACAGACAACAGTGTGGTGATGGCCAGAGGGGGATGGGTGGAGGTGGGTAAAGGTGGGACATCTGTAATATTTTTAACAATAAATTTAAAAAATACATACATTTAAAATGCAATTATCAAATTATTTCATTTATGTATCTCATTTAATCATCACAGCAACTCCATGTATTTTTCTTCTTCATGTGAGAACACTGAAACTCATAGATGTTACATAATATATCCAAGTTCATGCAAAGCTATCCTCCTATATATTAAAACCTTAATATGCAAATTGACCGAACAGCTGAACGACCAGTCACTAGGACATGCACTGACCACCAGGGGGCAGACACTCAGTGCAGGAGCTGCCCCCTGGTGGTCAGTGCGCTCCCACAGAGGGCGTGCCGCTCAGCCAGAAGCTGGGCTCACGGCTGGTGAGGGCAGTGGCGGTGGCAGGAGCCTGTCCCACCTCCGCTGCAGGTGGGCAGTAAGGAGTGAGGGGTCCTGGACTGCAAGAGCCCCGGGCTGTGAGAGGGATGTCTGACTGCCAGCTTAGGGCCTAAGCCAGCAGGTGGACATCCCCCAAGGGGTCCTGGACTGCGAGAGGGCGCAGGCCGGGCTGAGGGATGCCCCCCTCCCTCTAGAGCTAGTGGTAAATAAGTAAGCTGAATTTATACACAAGTCTAATCAATCAGCTCCCTGGCCTTTCCCACTCCTCTCCACTCCTGTTTATAGAGGAAAACATGATGGATTTGGTGTCTGATTATAGAGATGGAATTAAAGAAGTGTTAAATCAGAGATAACTTAAGTTTATGAATTAGAGAGTCATTGAAACAAAGAATCTTGGAGCCATTTTACAAAAAAAATTGGACTGGAAGTCATTGAGAAGGCAAGAAGTGTTTGGTTTCAGACATTTCCAGGTTGTGGTGTGGTGCCAATGGAAATGTTAAGTAAGACTGGAGATTTTGGACTATAGTTCAGATGAGGAGATAAGGAGTAGAGATATGAACATAATCAGCATAGAAGCTGTAGTTGAAACTGAGAATGGATATTCTTTCCAAGAAGTAGAATACCAAAAGACAGGTTGAAGAATACCTTACAG